TAAAAGTCTGCTAGTCTTGCTCTCTTTTTTTGGAAGGCAGTTAAATTGCTGGCAGGTCACCTTGACCGTGTGGGGAGCCAGTGTAGATTTAGCTCCTTGTCCTACGGCAGTGATGGCAAACCTATGACATGCGTGTCAGAGGGTGACATGCGAACTCATTGTTTTGGTTGATTTTTCTTTGTTAAATGGCATTTAAATATATAAAATAAATATCAAAAATATAAATCTTTGTTTTACTATGGTTGCAAAGATCAAAAAATTTCTATATGTGACACGGCACCAGAGTTAAGTTAGGGTTTTTCAAAATGCTGACACGCCGAGCTCAAAAGGTTCTCCATCACTGGCCTACGGCATCACTCTCTGTCTTGGAGTGTGGCCCTTACTCCTGGGGTGTACCCATTAGTTTCACAAGGTGTTTATCAAGCTTCTCTAACTTAGCAGAACTTGAATTCTAAACTCTGTCTTTCTAGTACCACACAGCTGTTTAAATCTCTGCTCAGCCCTTTAGCTTGTTGCTTTTTCCTTAAATCTCACCCTATGCTGACACAGTTGGGCCAATCAAGAATTCGAGGGAAATTTCTATGAAGACATTGGGTCCCCCACCTCTGTGACTCACTCCGTTCCGGGATTTCCCCGACAGTTTCTGGCCACGGTGGCAGCTCTGACATGGGACATAGATTTGAATAGCCAGCTCAGCAAGAATCTCCATCTGTGTAAGCTTCCCTTTCTTCAAAGTCTCTGCCTGGTTTGGGTTGTGCTTCAGTGCCTTCAGATACTTGGTTTTAGTATTTGTTCCAGAGCCTATCACTGTTACTAGCAAGTACACACTTCTCTGCCATTACTGGAACTGGAACATTGGGTGTGATTCTTGAATAGGTGACGTTTGTTTCTTTAGAAGTTGTCATGGAAGTAAGGAAAAATTACCGTGGAATAGCAAAAAAGCAACAACACATTTACCTCCCTTCTGAAATTAGCAACCAACTCCCTATGGTATAAGTGTTCATTCAGTAATTGAATACTCAAAACAACAGAAATTTAGACTCAACCTATATTTGCACTATAGGTGTTTAATAGGAAACAATACAGAGTAAACCAGGAATTGGCAAACCTTTTCTTTAATGGGGCAGAGAGGACATAGGTTAGTCTCTGTGGGGTATTACAGTCTGTTGCAGCCACTCTGCTTGCTATTGTGGTGGGAAAGCAGAACTGGGTAATGGGCAAAGCCTGAGCATGGCCAAGAAAGCCTTAGTTACAGACCCTGAAATTTGAATTTCAAATTTCATATGATTTTTATGTGTCATGAATGATTCTCTGCTTTCAAACTCTCTTAACCATTTCAAAATATAAAACCGTATTTAGCTCACAGGTCACGCAGAGCCAGGCAGACAGTGTGCGGGACCTGGCCCATTGTCTCCTGGCCCCGGAGTGAACTCCGCAGGAAGTATTCTCACTTCTCTGCCACTCTGTTCCCTCTTCAGCTGTGAGCCAGAACTGTTTCAGTGACCAAACACATAGGTTTTCAACTGCTTCCTGCTTTGGGCCTCGTTGGCTGGTTCTAACATGTAAATGTGCATAAGCATTGCTTTGCAGAATTGTATACACAGAACTCTATACTCTGAACCTAATGGGTGACTGAGGGTGTTCAGGTAGAATTTTGCCCGGCTTCAGTTCTTGCTTTACATTCGACCTTAGGACATGACTCCATCGTCTGGGCCTCTCTAGTTCAAGACATTGCTATGTGACAGCTGTCAGGTTATTGCTCTCCGAGTCTGTCCTTCTCTGCCCTGCCTGGAGCTGGAGCTGGGCCCTGTAAGCATCGTCCTTGGGCAGCTGGATGGCGAGAAGAGGTCGGGGAGGTGCCCTGGGGAAGGAGCATCTCTTCCTGATACCGCAGGGTTCTCGCCTGCTGGGCCTGCGGCCCCTGGCGACCAGCAGCAGTTGGGATTCCCAGTAGCTCCCCTGCTGCACTCGGCGTCCAGTCAGCTCCATCGGCACCCCCGCTGGCTTCCCAGCAAGTCTCACAGAAGTCTTAGAAAGTTCCAGAAGGAGGCTTCCCAGTGAATCAGCGGCACACCTCCCCACTCCCTCCCCAACCCCCGCCCCAGGCAGTTTCCCAGGGAGGCCCTCTAGGTGGTTTCAGAGTTCCACCAGCATCCCGGAGGGCAGCTTCTTTGCAACACCCAGGAAGCCTTGCAGGCCCCTAGGGGCAACTGGCCCATGGTTTCCACCAGCACCTCCAGAGGGTGGGTCCCTGCTGGCTGGCTCCAGCTTGCTGCACCCCAGGCCACTTTCCACCCTCAGATAGGCCATGGCTGCATCCGCCCCAGAGAGCTCTGCATCTCCCTTCCTGATCCACAGGGTCCCTGGGGGACCTCCTTCCCGATTGGCTCCTTCCTCAGCAGCGGTAGGGCTGCTCCCATGCCAAGCTGCTGTGTGTTGAGTTCTCATTACCCCTTAGTAGTCAACCCCTTGTTGCTAGTTAATGAATCTTACTACACTTCCCCGTTCAAATTAACGTGCGGTTTCTATCTCCTGACTAGCCCTGATTAAAACTTTTGGAATAGCAGCTGTAGGGGGCCGGTTGCAGGGAGGATAGGGGCCTAGCTGGTCCTGAACGTGTGCAGTGGTGAGGGTCATCCTACACAATGACTGATAGCAAATGTAACTATAACAAACACTATGTCTGCTTGAAAATAATTTCCTCTGAACTACTACTATTTCCTTGTGTGATGAATCACTTATAATTCTTTAGCAATAAATTCATTTAAAAAATGCTCACCATGTTATATTATCCTGATCATCCTAAGTAGCTTATTCTTTGTTTTTATTTAAATAAACTAAGATCTTGTTTTATGTCTATTACTCTTTTCCCTTTCCTTTCCTTATGCCAGAAGCATAGAGATTAAGGACGTGTACGGCACAAATGCCTGGGTACTGACTGTGCCGATGACTCGTTCACAGGCGCTGCGGAAGGCCTGCTTGAGACCAAACCCCTGAGCCCTGTGCAAGGGATGAAGCTCAACTCGGGAGAAACAGAAATACTCAGGAAAGCAGTGGAGGACTACTTCTGCTTGTGTTATGGTAAAGTGCATTCATGTGAAGCATTCATTCTCCGAACAGTTCACTGTGGAGTGTTAGGTCATCTTATTGGTGTGATTATTTAGATGGTTTCTAACATCTGAACATCCACATTCTCATCAAGCGAAGAGCCGTTCTTAATTAAGTACCAGCTCAGGTTTTCTTACAGAAGACAACTTGGTTTCTTCTGGTCCATCGAAACCTCTGGATTGATCAGACTTCAGTGTTGGCTCCCATTTTGGGGGGCCCCCAGATGCCCCCCCTCCTTGGCCAACCCAGTTATTAAAGGTTTTTATTGTTGCTTTGGTCACCAGCCTCTCCCTAACCCTAACCTACCCACATCTTTCCACATCTACACAGTGTCTTAAAAAGCTAGATAATGAGCTCTGGCCAGCATGGCTCAGTGGATAGAGTGTTGGCCCCTGTACCAAAGGGTCTCAGGTTCGATTCCTGGTCAAGGGCACATACCTGGGTTGCAGGTTCAAGCTCCAGTCCCAGCCAGGGCTCATATAGGAGGCAACCATCAATGTGTCTCTCTCATATCGATTTTCTCTCCCCATCTCTTCCTTTCTTCCACTCTCTCTAAAAATCAATGGGAACAATATCCTCGGGTGAGGATTAACAAACAAAAAAGCTAACCAAGTACTATACAGGTTTTATATACTTATTTGCGATATAAGCACCTTAGCATCTTAGGGCCTTGTTTATCATTCCTAGACAGCTGCACACATTTATTGACCTGCAGGTCCCTGTGAGCACTTGACTTTGGGGACCCCCAGCACAAGGGATCCTGGGATCTCAGGCTACACTTGTCTATGAGAAGTGGGGCTCCAGCACCTCTGGGCTGGCGGGCCAGTGTAGAGTGATACACGGCCCCAGTGGTGACATGAGGCCATGTTGACCTCATAACTTTTCCACAGGCAAGTTGGCCTGACCTGTTCGGTGTGACACAAGGACAGCTACACTTTGAGTGGGGGCTCTATCCAGCAGCCTGCGTAACCACGTGTGCTCTCTGCAGCCCTGGGTGTGCCAGACCGAGTACCCCAAATTGCGCATCTTCTAAGAGAATGGAGATAAAGACCTATTCTTTTCTCTTTCTTTTATGAAGGTTTAAATATTATAAATATTTTGGCCCTTTGGTTGGTAATTTTTCTAATTTCCGATATAAAGAAATAGGGTACCGTCTGCTTCTAATGTATCTTCAAATGATGTCACCGCCTGTGCTTATTACACTAAATGAAATTGGCCGATAGGGGTGCTACGCGCCTGCCATTTAAAATCATCTTGCCTCTTCTAGGAAAAGCCTTAGGAACAACAGCAATGGTGCCTGTTCCGTATGAGAAGATGCTGCGAGATCAGGCGGCTGTGGTAGTACAGGGGCTTCCAGAAGGAGTTGCCTTTCAGCACCCGGAGAACTATGATCTTGAAACTCTGAAGTGGATTTTGGAGAACAAAGCCGGGATTTCATTCATCATAAACAGGTGATGAACCACCTGTTAGTATATTTGAAGATAAGCTGAGAGCTTCATTTCAGTCATTTCATTATGTTCTGTTACATTAGAAGTTATTGTTCAGCTGTTTAATCTGACTTTCTTGTGTGTTCACGTTGGGTAATAGTGTTGGTTTTCTTGCAGACCTTTCCTAGGCCCGGCAGATCCCCAAGGTAAGTGATAGCTTCTCATACTTAGTGACTGCCCCTGGCTGCTAAACCAATTCTGCTTTTCTAATTAAAATGCAAGTTCGGCACATTCTAAAGCTTGTTCGTTCTCACTGAGGAGGCGGCCTCTGACATGGCAGGGTGGGTGGTAATGGTGTGTGCAGGGTGCACAGCTCAGGGAGAGACACACCCCACCTAGAAAGTGGAGACACCACCCTCCTCGCAGCTCACCTGCTGGGGAGTTTCTGCACCCAGACCTCAGACAGCAGTGGACCCCCCCTTGTTCTGGTGTACAGCAGAGTGAAGAGCGTGGGGTCCCCTCCTGGTCTTTGACCACAGCCACGGGCCAGGCACTGTTGGGTTCAGGAGTGGTTCTAGGATGTGTGATTGTTCCCATGCTCCTGAAACTCACAGTCTAGCAGGAGGAATGAGACTGTCCAGCAGGGAGCCGAGTGTGGCCTGTGCTCTCAGAATGGCGGAAGGAAATCCCTGAGAGCCCTGCAAAGCGGTGAGAATTGTGTGATTGGAAGGGCTTCATGGAGACGTGGGGGTCAAGCAGGGGGTCAACAGGCTGTTCCTCCAGGAAGCCCATGCCATGTGACCACACAGAAAGCAGTGGGGAAGGGTGTCTGAGGCTGCATTTGGGAACCAAGGACCCCTTATAATCTCCTGAACTTGGGATTCCGAGGGGACCAAAAATATAATAATAATTTAGCAGAAGTGTTTAGAGATCAACTTATGCTTACTTCTTATTTTCTCAGATTATTATTCTGAATGTAATTGGAAACCATAGCTGTATATGAAAGATCAGATCTAAAGAGGATGTCATACTGAGACTGCGTAGGTAGGGATGGCCCAGGGGGGCGTAGGGTGGGACACCGTCAGGTGGTTCTCCTGAGCATAGATTACTCACGGAGCAAAGTCTGTTCCTGGAACAGTGCGAGCTCCTGGACTCCTCAAAGGAGGGATTTGAAGGTAAGGGTGGCAGGTGACAGGAGATTGTTGTGCCAGAGGACTTGTATTTTCATTAGAGACTATTTAGTGCTTACAGTGTGCCAGGCACTATTTTAAGCACTTTGCATGTATTCTCATCCAACCACCATTTTCAGATGAGGAAACTGAGGCACAGGGCGGTTTAGTAAGTTGCTGGAGGTCACCCAGCTGGTGAGCAGCAACATGGGATCCACACCTGTGCTCCAGCTCTGGTCTGCTCCTCGGCCCCCATTCTGTCCACACGAATGGCCCCAGAACATGGGGTCAGGTTTGAGATGGTCTCTTCCCTCCACTGACTTGGAGATGAGAGTTCTGTTCTCTCTGTATTGGCTTTCATTTTAAAAAATATATTTGTTATTGATTTTTTACAGAGAGGAAGGGAGAGGCATAGAAAGTTAGAAACATTGATGAGAGAGAAGCATCAATCAGCTGGCTCCTGCACACGCCCTACTGGGGATGTGCCCACAACCAAGGTACATGCCCTTGACCGGAATCGAACCTGGGACCCTTCACTCCCCAGGCCGACGCTCTATCCAGTGAGCCAAACCTGCCAGGGCGGCTTTCATTTTATATATGCCTTTTAAAAAATATATTTTTTTATTGATTTCAGAGAGGAAGGAAGAGGGAGAGAGAGATGGAAACATCAATGATGAGAATGAATCATTGATTGGCTCCCTCCTGCACTCCCCTACTGGGGATTGAACCCGCAACTGGGCATGTGCACTGGCCGGGAATCCAACTGTGACCTCCTGCTTCATAGGTCGATGCTCAACCACTGAGCCACTCCAGCCGGGCTCATTTTATATGTCTTTGAATGTTGTCATATTTCAAGATGCGGAAAGGGGCTAATGTGTGTCTTTTCACTCCTGCACAGGTGGGCCTGGGGTAGTAACAGATGCTGAGAGAGCAATGTCACTGTCAAGTGAAAGGTAAGGGATCAATAAAAAATACAACCCACATCTAGCCCCAAAGTGATCCTTTTTAGACTGGAAAGCCTTCCTTATTTTGTTATATAGCTGACCCTTGAACAACATGGGTTTGAACCACATGGCTCTTTTTATGCTGCTAACGGACCAGCACAGTTCAGTCCGTGCTGTTAAGGGGCACCTGTGTTTTTAACCTGCAGCTGGGAATATGCGTATGTGGAGGGCCAACATATATTATATTCAGATTTCGACTGTGTGGCAGGTCGGTGCTCCTAACCCCCAAGTGTTCAAGAGTCAGCTATATATTCTTTATTCTGTAAGATGTTTGGGATTCTATCGCTACAGCCAGTTAACACATTTGATTTTGCAACAAACCATTAAGAATGTTAATGTTAAACTTGTGGCAGTTTTGCTCTCAGTTTGGCGTGGGAAGGGGCTTCGGCAGCATGGAGATGTGGGGGTTGTAGTTCAGGGGTCCAGACACCTATGGGCAGTCCTCACCACCCATCTTGACCAGGGTTCCCTTCTCCTTTCAGTGGTGGCTCCATCCATGTGAAAACGGAACCCATGGAAGATTCCGGTATGTATACCGATGCTTTTAGAATCCAGTGTTTAGCAGGTTATCATTTGACACCTTTCTTTTGTTTTACTTAAAAAAAACAACACATGGGACTCTGAGTAAACTAAGAATAGAGGGAAACTTACTTGGTTTGATTTTTTTAAGATCTACAAAAAAAAAATACAACTAACATTATACTCAATGGTGAGAAACTAGAATCTTTCCCCCTAAGCTCAGGAACAAGGCAGGGCTAAACCCTGTCATCACTCCTTTTCACCTTCATACCGGAGTCCTAGCTCCTGCAGTAAGGCAAGAAAGGGAAATAAAAGGTATACTGATTGGGAAGGAAGAAATAAAACTGTTTGGTCATAGATGACATGATTGTCTATGCAGAAAACTGAAAGAATCAACCAAAATATGGGGTTTAGGACACTAATTAATCTCAAATGGGACCTTATTTGCAGAATAATCATATTTTATTCTAATATCTAGAAAAGAGCCTTCTAATGCAGTAAATGATTAGAGGGGAAATGTTAAAAGGTTAAAAATAGAATTTATTTTTTTAAAAATATATTTTATTGATTTTTTACAGAGAGGAAGGGAGAGGGATAGAGAGTTAGAAACATCCATGAGAGAGAAACATCGATCAGCTGCCTCCTGCACACCCCCTACTGGGGATGTGCCCACAACCAAGGTACATGCCCTTGACCGAATCGAACCTGGGACCCTTCAGTCCACAGGCCGACGCTCTAGCCATTGAGCCAAACTGGTCAGGGCAAAAAAATAGAATTTCTTAAAAACTCAAATGTTTAATTAAGAGATGGGAAAATATTGAAAGTATTAAAAGTGGAAAGGTCAGGTCAGTCTGTATGGCTCAGTGGTTGAGCACCAATCCATGAACCAAGAGGTCACAAGTTTGATTCCTAGTCAGGACACATGCCCAGGTTATGGGCTTGATCCCCAGTAGGGATCTCATCAATGGTTGTTTTTTTTTAATGTATATTTTTGGTTTTATTCATGGCTGGTGAAGACATTATTTTTTTTTAATATATTTTTTATTGATTTTAGAGAGGAAGGGAGAGGGAGAAAGAGAGAGAAACATCAATGATGAGAGAGAATCATTGATTGGCTGCCTTCTGCAAGCCCCCCACTGGGGATCAAGCCTGCAACCGCAGCATTTGCCCTTGACCAGAATCAAACCCGGGACTCTTCAGTCCGCAGGCTGATGCTCTATACACTGAGCCAACCCAGTTAGGGTGACATTATTTTTAAAATTTAAATTCTTTATAGTTTAAAGTATTACATGTCTCCTTTTTCCCCCACTAACCTCTCCCCAGGCGCTCCCACTCCCCAGCACATGCCCTCATACTGTCTGTGTCCATTGGTTATGCTTACATACAAGCATACAAGTCCTTTGATTGATATCTTACCCTCCCACACACACCCTCCCCTGCCTTCCCTCTGAGGTTTCATGGTCTGTTCGATGCTTCCGGCTCTATTTTTGTTCATCACTTCAAATCATATTCCACATATGAGTGAAGTGACATCATGTGATATTTATCTTTCTCCAACTGGCTTATTTTGCTTAGCATAATGCTCTCCAGGTCCATCCATGCTGTTGCAAATGGTAAGAGTTCCTTCTTTTTTACAACAGCATAATATTTCATTATGTAGATGTAGCATCATTTTTTAATCCACTCATCTGTTGATGGACACTTGCTGTTTCCAAATCTTAGCTGTTATAAATTGTGCTGCTATGAACATACGGGTACATATGTCCTTTCTGATTGGTGTTTCTGGTTTCTTGGGATATATTCCTAGAAGTGGGATCACAGGGTCAAATGGGAGT